CATATAACGCACACCAACACACACACTCACACACACACACACACACACACACACACACACACACACACACACACACACACACACACACACACAGGACACTTTCTACAGAGACCAATTAACCTAATAGTTATGTTTTTGGATTGTGGGAGGAAGAAGGAGTACTTCGTACAGCATGCTAACTCCGTACAGTCACCCCAGATTGGGATTCAAACCCAGGACCTTCTTGGGACAAGTGGAGGATCAAATGCTGCCGTAGCACGTCGGTTTCTTTTTCGTTTTAATTCAAGCAGGAGTCAAAGTTGCACCGTAAGTGTGCCTGCATGAAAGCTCGTTGTGGAGAGGTTCCTTTGGGACGTCGGGCTGTGAGACGAGCTGCGCACAGCGGCGCTACAGCGAAGCTGCGACTGTGACAAATGAGACGGAGTTGCAGAGCAGCCAAAGCGTTGCTGCTGCATTATAGTGCACCTTTATTCAGGCACGATTGCGGCGCGTGTTCAGAGCGGGACGGTAAATGGGTCAGATGCGCTGGAGGAGAATGACCTTGGGAATTTTGGCCTGCTTCTCTTCCTGCCTCTGCAGATGCATGCCTTTACGTCAGGTTGGGGAGGAAAAGGCGGCGGCTGACAGAAACAGAACCTCCTCCGCCTCCTTCCTAAAAAATGTTACCTCTGAAAATACAGCACATAGTTTCCTTAAGGTATCTCAACTTTTTTTGACTTATAGTGAGCCCTGAAAGTTTTCTACACCAAGCTTTACGAAATACCTTTTCTTCCTGATCTCCAAATATCTCTGAGTGTTTTGTGTGGCTAAAAACTTGGGTCATTTATAATCTTTGGGCCACAGTCAGTCAGGCCATTTCAGGTATTTTTCATAATCAAAACTCCTGAACCCGGCCAGCTGTGGACAAGAAGATTTCTTTTCATTGTCTGGCTCAGTGGTGTCTTTCTTGGTGGACGGGGATATGTGGGTCGCCAGCTATTTTAATCCATTATGTTGCCAGGAATACCTGAGGGAGTGTGCAAGTGCTGCTGCTGTGTGTGTGTGTGTGTGTGTGTGTGTGTGTGTGTGTGTGTGTGTGTGTGTGTGTGTGTGTGTGTGTGTGTGGATAATTGCATTTCGGCTCTGAACTCATCGCCAAGTGTGTTTGAACAAGTTGCAGAGGAGAGTGCAAGTTAGAAGTGCAGGAAAATGTGATATTTTACTAATTGCAAACACATCAGAGTTTTTTTTTCCCTTCTTTTTTACTTTGACAATGTTTAAGTAGCTTTTACTTCTGTTTACTGGAGTCTTTATTCTTTAAAAAAAACAACAAAAGGACTGTTTCAGACAGCAGGTGACTGTTTTTCCTTCTTTTTTTGTTGTTTTATCAGCGCATAAAGCCGTTGTTCATTTGATCAAACCGTGCACATGTCATCATCAACACCATGTTTCTGTTGTTTCTTAGGTGACAGCACAAAGAAAAGGTAGTGATTAAAAATAAATGCGATGCCGTCGTACGCCGCCTCTCCCTCCCCCTCTTCCTCCGTCCGTGATGTTACCCGGAGAGACGCTGCTTTTCCTCGAATGCATGATAGTTTACATGGTTTTTTTTAAGCTGTCATCTTGAGTTTCCTACTGACATGGCACAGTAGAGCTAAGAAAAAAAAAAAAACTAAATAAACAAGCATCCAAATCCAATCACTGGCCGATTTACAACAAAAAAAACAACAACCAAGAAATACCTTTTTTATTTTTGATTTTATATAAAATATAAAAATGAGATTAAAAAGAGCTGCTTCCACTGTAAATCAGTGTAAATACCTCTGTTATTGATGCAGTAGTCGTACTATTGTACTTCCTTTCTATGCAAGTAATTGTCCTAAACTTGTTTTAAACTTATTAGAGTTTTTGGTTTTGCGAAAATCTTTTACATGTCAACTTTAATACCTGAAAAAATAATTGAAATATTTCAAAGACAAATGAATTGTTTTGAATAATAAACGCTTTAAATATGACTTCCCCGATGGGATGGACAAATGTCCTGTAAGGATGCAGATTTATTGCAACCATGGAAACTGTACAAGATTTTTTCAAATCCCAAACATTATTTTTTATTTATTTATCTTTCTAACTATTGATTCCACAAAATCAGCAATAAACATCACTATTTAAAAAAAAAATAAGAGTAAAAGCTGATATTGTGGCCTGTTTGGGGATAGACTGCACCATTAAAGTCGCTCAGTTTTTTTTTTGTTTGTGCGTTTTGCTCTCTTTGCCAACAAATAGCAAAATGGATTTTTAAACACTTTAACTATTGTTATAGCAGAACATCGCGCCGAGCTTGTAAGTCATCATATCTCCCGTCCCTTTCATCTGATTTAAAATCGTTTCTAGACCGCCTTACAAACATGAGATCATGCGGCTCACGATGCTGCAGCTCGAAGGTCGCAGGCACAGACAAAGGAGCTTTTTCACAATTACGCACATTAGACTGGACATGGTCTCGGTTTCCTTCTGGATGATAAGCAAATGTCCCTTTGATGCCAATTGTAAACACAACGTTATTTTGTTATTTATTTATTTTTTTTCTTTTTGTGCGAGTGCATGCCCGTGGGAGACGGGAGCCGTCTGAATTATTAAAGCGTGAACTGCCAGAGTGGAGGAGAGTGTTTCTTTTTTACCCCCAAGACTTTCATGCAGAGACGGTTTCATCTGCAAATGCGCAAACAGACACACACACACACACACTCTCTCTCTCTCTCTCTCTCTCTCACTCACACATCGAGGTTGCATGACTCATGCAGCCACCTGCTTTGCTTTCCAGCAAGGCCGATGAGATCAGTGGCTTCCTCAAAATACCAAAACCTCTGGAGGTACAGAAGACAGAAGGCAACCCTGGTGTGTCTGAAAAGAAAGGAGAGAAGGTGTGATGACGATGGCTGCCTCCCAGGAGTCTCTCTCTCACACACGCACACACACAAAATCTGGTGCACGTTTCCTTTTTAGGATTTTCTTGTAGTTAAATTAAATGCCTGTCACACAAACCCTCAGTAATGTGTTGAATCAGCAGCTGGACGATGAAGCCTTTAAAAGTTCTTTTGGCAAAAATAATAATATTAATAATGATAATTATGGGCTGCAACATAGAGAAGATTATCTGCCCAACCAAATAATTTTTTATCAATGAATATCTGCTGTTTGCGGATCCTAATCCTCTTCATACAAACCAAACCAGGTGCTCCCATTCAAGGTTTGAAAATGTAGCGAACAGTCCGATTTAGAAAGACATGAAACATACAAACTGCGCCGTGGCTTGAATGCTGAATAAAACATTAAAGCTTCCTGTTATTTGTGACCTTTTTACATGGATGTAAGAAGAGAGGGCCATGTTCCCTGTGAATAACTGAGGACTGAATGTGAATGCATACAATCTAAACAAGATTTTAACCATTTAGCCGCACCACAAAAAGTCGTTTTGTGCTCAGAGATGCAGCAGTGGAGACTGACTTACTACCTGAATATTTATTCAAATAAAATAGACATGTCTCTCTATCAAAGTGAGCTTCTTCTTCTTCTAAACATTTAGTTTCAGCTCCCCATAAGGTTTTAAACACACGAGGCCTAACATACAGTGGACCCCTGTCACATATTCAACTATTTTTTTATTTTTCTGGGGGACTCCAAATTACTTGTGGAAAATTCATCCACTAGCAGATATTTTTTTGACGGCACATCCTGAAATATTTGAACGAATTTGCGGCTTCGGATCCTAAAATACAGCAATGCTGCTTGGCTAAGATGGTTTCCATTGTGTGGATTAATTCATTGTAAGGTAGATTTGGCAGTTCAGAGCATTTTCTAGTCATTTATGACTTTCAGCTGTAAAATGAATAATGAGTATACATTAATACAATGATGTTAGCACATGATGGATTTAAGCTTTTTTTGTTTAAATATTCTTCCTGACTCTTAAATGTTTATTTGGTTTAAATAAATCAAACAAAGCAGAAATGGACTCTTGTCCAGTTAAAGAGAACCAAACTCCTCTGGTGTGAAAGTGCCAAAAAAAAAAAAAAAACTCCAAAAAGTTTCCTTCTGTAAAAGCATCAACCAACAACAACGTGATCCTTCACATATTGTGTAATGTCAACATCAGATAAAGATTAGGGGAAACTGAAAAGAAAGATTTTAAAACTATTGTTTCATAGTTTCTAGAAAACAAAGTTCACATGTTCAATCATTACAGGTTTAGTTTATTCTGTGTCCAGGAAGCAACACAAAAATGTTTGCCTTCAGTCACTGAAGCACAGAAATGAAGAACAACTTCTACCAGGACATTTTAATCAGACCTGCTCAGGATGCGCTTGGTGATATTCCTATCAGTGTCTAGTCTTTATGAAGCTCTAGTGAAGAACGGAAACCCGAACACGCAGCTTCTGAAACGTCCTTTGACGTTTTGTTGGAGATTAGATGTTATAGTGCGCACCGCGATAACTCGATTACTGATCCTGATCGTCTAATGGCCCTCTGATATATTTACATTAGTCTATTGGAGACAATGAAGTGAAACGACTGCAACATACAGCCAGGGATCAGCTGCTGTTGCTTTTTAATGGATTGACCCTTTCTGTGCATGAGGTGCATGTGTGTCTGCGTGTGTGTGTGTGTGTGTGTCTGCGTGTGTGTGTGTGTGTGAGAGAGAGATGGAGTGGTGGGGGGATAAAGTGGGGGATGAGGTCATTGTGTTGTGTGAGCATGCGTGACTCTCTTTGGGTGTGTGAAATAAAGGGTGGTGGATGTATAAGTGATGACTTCATTCGTTATGTATTAATTTATGCTTTGACTTGTCCCTTCAGTCGTGTGTGTGTGTGTGTGTGTGTGTGTGTGTGTGTGTGTTAACCATTTACGAATGTGGAAAACCAACAGGAGAAAAGCTTTTATTCCAGACAAAAGCCAGTTTGTGTAAAGATAAAATTGAATTAGTGATGCACACATGAATTTGCCAACAAACTTTTTTTTGTTCATCACAAATGAAATGCAGACATGTTCAACAAAACGTGTATAAAAAAACAAACAAAAAAAAAACCCTGAATCTTTTACAGTCTGCAAATGAGTACGCAAACATTTTTTTATATGGATTGTGGAATAAGAGAAAATGTGCTGCAGGTTGTAGTTTTGAATCAAACGGTGCATAGATATTATATCTATCTGATCTTTGCAAAACTAAAAACATGTCCATTAAGCACAACAATCTAAAAATTGATAAAAAGAAAAAACCCATATATTTTCCATATTTGACCCGCTGATGACCGATCACAACTGATCAGGACGACGACGGCTGGTTCCAGTTGTTTTCATTAGGAGGAAAAATGACTAATAAACTTGTGAAACCCTGATCAGTTCATCTATATAGTAAAAGTGCAGATGCACAGATTGGGTGTTTATGATATTAAAGGGGAAAAAAACTAGAGTTTTTACAAATCTTTCCATGTTTTCCACACAGTATGTCCCAGTGTAAATCAGTCCTCACAGATTAAATTTGAGAAAACATCCAGATTCTCTCCACCACAAAGCTTCATTCATTAGCCGTCCATTTGCAGCCCCCTGCGTTGCTAACAGAAACACCACCTGCGCAACGTCAACCTTAATGTGGTAAAACGTCCTTTATCGGCCAACTGCTAAATGCTGCACTAAGTGACTGTTGTAAACACAAATTAATCAGGAAGCTCACCTTGTTTCAAAAACATTTTAAGAAATTTGTGTGTGTGTTAATGAGGATGGGAGTGTTGTGGATAAAATCAAACCCAGGTCATCTTCTTAGCTGCTTTTTCATAAAAGCTTTTTTTTTTTTTAAAAATCCTTTTGTATCGTTCTGTTTGACCAAAGTCGTCTCTCGCCGTCCGTTGTTTTACTTTTCAGTTTGTTTCTCTCCGCCAGCAGCCGGCATCTGCCAGGTGAGGCGGTCGGAGTGACGCCCTGGATGGAGGCGGGTCACAGATGTGTCACCAGATGTGGTTTCCAAGTAACGACCCTCCTTTTCACCCAGCCGAAAACACATTCCTTCGGAGTTCCGGCTCAGCGGCGATCGAAGACTTTCCCACTCGGTTGGAGTGTTGATTCAGAGCTCCGCTCTCCGCTTGTCTTTGATCTGTAAACACTACGCCGAGCGGCATCGTCGGCAGGTCAACAGTGTTGTTGACTTTCTGTCTCTGATACGCATCGGCGCGTCTCCCGCACACTTCCTCTGTTATCAGCTCCTTTTCCAGAGAGCAGCGACAGGCTGCAGTGGGAGCGCTCTCAGAAGGAAGGGCCTTTATTCTTTGGGCAGCAAATAAAAAAGACGCAAACATTTTGGAACTGGTCAGTATGATGCCAAACTCGACGCTTCAGTTCAATATTTCTCAAAAATTCTGGGAGAATATGGTTTTATTGAGATTGACGCCAAAATGATTTATTTAAAAAAGAAAAAAAACATTAGCAGAACCAAATTATTAACTTTTTTCTGCCAGTATGAAAAAACAACCAATAAAGCAACTGTTCAGAAAAAAGGACAAAGAAACATAAAGAAACTTCATAAATATGTTGGATTCTTTTGTGTTTTCTGAACAACTTTGGCTGATCCTTTTTTCCATTACTCCCTTTTTTAACTTTTATTTGTCTTCCAGTTTATTTTCTCCTATAAAAACTGTAATTTCCAGTTTGTCGCATTTTCACAACATTAGGTAGTTATGGAAAGTAATTTGGGAATCCTCTGCATATGTTCAAATTTTCAGCATTTAATGACATTTTTACTTGATTTGATGATAAATTAACAATAAATCATGAATAAGTAAACGTAAACGTAAAAGTTTTCTAAAGCTCCCTGAGGCTGTGCAAATACTGTTTAAAAATATGTGACTCAATTCCGTCTCAAAGTCCAGTTTGAACCATAAATAAAATAATCTTGATGCAATGACATTTTTTTCCCCTATTGTACCTGAAGCCCCTGACAGGAAGAGTAACCCCTCTTCATCGCAGCTGGATGTTTTGTAGATTCAGGTTGTCACCTCGGCTCCTTCGCCACGCGGCCTCACCGCTGTAGATGTCTCCTTTAGCGCGCGCGCTCGGAGCTCGAAGACGCGCTCTGTGGTGTCGCTGCTGACGCAGGTTCGCGCAGAGGAAAGATGACAGCCCCTCTTCATCTTCAGCGTTTTCGCCGGATGACTGCGCCGACCATTTTCCCTGTTTTCTTTTGTTCCGCTCTCCGTCTCACTCCTCCCAACCCCTCGTCACGTCTTTGTCTCAGTGTTGTTCGCCGCGTCGGCTGCCTTTCTTCGTCTCTCTCATCGCCCTGAGCAGTGGAGATTAGGCTGACACGTGGGGCGCGCGCGCACACACACACACACACACACACACACAATCCGGCGTCGCTTAACAAGCTGTTAACCCCCCATTTATAAGTGTGGCCTGTAAATCAGCTCGGTGAAAGGGAGTGTAATCCCTGCCGGACGATTTAATGGTAATCTCCATATCCTAAATAGATTACACACAAGCGCTCGCGCGCGGACGCACCCACATGTTGTCTGCAGCCCTTCCAGCTGGCTCGAGGAGAACTAAAGCTAAATAAAAATAAACACTCGCTCTTTTTTTAGTCATTTTCTGGGTCATTCAGAGTAGCAGATGCACTTTGTTTTTGTCATAACTTCACACGTCTTTACTTTTTAATTTTAGGTTTTTTTTTCTTAACCAGAATGTAATGGTTATCTTTTTATAGCCGCCTCGCTTTCATGTGTTTTAATAAGCGACGTTACAAAGTGACAGGTAGTGTTGAGAGTCTGAGGCTGCTGCAGTCATGCGGAGGCCACCGGTGACTTTATATATCTGATTAATTCTGCTTTATTTTTAGCAGCGTCTTAAAGATCTAACAAACAGGAACTTCAAAAACGGTTTCTTCTCTTTCACATCAGGAAAAACTCAGGACAGAATGGAAACGGGCAAAAAACAACAACAACAAAAAAAAGCGATTCGATTCGTCTCCTCTTTCATCCCATCGGTTTTATTTTAATTTCTTTTCACTTTTGCATTGTGGTGTCAATAGATATTCATTCAGTTTGGTCTGGTAGCATTTTTGTGTTTTTCATTCACGTTTTTGGCACCAAAAATAAATAAATAAATTTTAAAACATCTTAAGAGTCTGAAGACACCTTGATGTCAGCGTAGAGTAAATGCTTCAGGACTACAAAAAGAGTCAGAATTTCCTGACACTTGTTCACTTGCGCCCCTCAGCGAAAGCCGTAGTTTAGAGAGAAGCTGCTGCGGATCAAACTGATCTCACTGTGCAAATACATCAGTCTGGCAAGGGAGAAGGAAATCTTCATTAGTTGCTCTAAAATCTATTTACCGTCAAAAAAAAGTTCAAAAGAGGCCGGCTGTGCCTTTAAATGAAGTTAACACGACGGGAAAAAAGGTCAACATTTTTGTTAAAAGCAGCGAAAGTCGTCTGACCTCCAGTAGATGAATCTTTTTCTTTTTCTTTTTTATATATATTTTTTTTAACATCCAGGTTAATTTTTCTTAACTTCTCAAGCTTACAGTGAAAGCAAAATCAGAGCAAACTTCTCTAAAATGTTGTTCTGAGCTGCTGAGTTGTTTGTATTTTGTGGTTTTATCACAGGGACCTATTGTTACTAACACTGGTGGGCGTGTTTGTTCCTGGTTTGCAACCTGGTAAAATCCTGGAGCGCGTATGACTGCGGTTGTTAAACAAAAATAAAACGCTGCCCGAGCGCAATCTGCACTTCTGCTTAAAAAAAAGAGCTTAAAAAGACTGAAATATACCAACACTGACCTCTAATGGATACAAAGTTTGACCTCCTAAACGTGGATCAACATGGTGTCAAACGTTCCTCCTACGTTTTGGTTTATGTTGACAAAACATCACACAAGTTTTACTGCAAATCTTCCATTTCATCACATCCCTAAAGCTGACGGATCTGATGCAGATGTGGTGACCGTGTGGAGTTCAGTGAACTACTTTTCATGTTCCAGTAACCAGTTTGAGATGATTTGACTGTTCTCAGCTACAAACTTCGATGTGACTTTTTTGTGCTGCTGTTGCAACATCAGCTTCAGGGCTGGACGCGCAGTTCTCCGCATCCCTCGGTTGTAACGAGTGATTATTTATTTAGTGTTTTAATATTTTAGCTACTGTTGCTTTTTCAGCATCTGGAACCAGTTTGCCCATTTTCCTCTGACTTCTGCCGTCTTGTCCACTGGATAATTTCTCAAAATGTAAATCTTATGTTTGGTTGCGTTATAAAGATGAATAGTTTCTGAAATTACAAAAAAAAAAAAAAAAAAATCCTAAATTCTTGCACCAACACCACTTTCAAAGCCTCTTAATGTTCCCTTCCTTCCCCAATCTGAATGCATTCGTTTCCTGCAGTGTGAGCGGCTGAATCAATGTGCTTACAGATAATTGTGTACCTAATAAAGTGGCCAGGGAGCGTGGTCATTACCCAGAACTCCACGAGCCGGACGGCCACCTCCGGGACGTTTATCTCCTGCTTCTGTCTTTGGGTGTGTGGGAAACTTTTAATAAGGCGGCTGTCACTTTCAGCAGATAAATGCATCGGTTCGGCCACACAAACACCGCCAAG